TCTATGATTATAAGGTATAGAACTTCTTTTAGCCCCCATGGGTCAAGATCATCTGCCAGAACACAGAATACATGGCAAAAACAGAGGCTGCACTACTGTAGTAAACATCACTTCTTGAAGAATATGTTCAAATCAGGCTAACATTTTAGGCTTTTATTGGTTAAGAAAGTCTATAGTACAGTTCACTTATGTATATTGCTCATGTGTAAATACAGATAGCTTTGTTGATCAAGACTTAAGACAGTATGCAGGGCATGTGAAAAATTAGTTAACAGTGTACTGCAAAGATTCTTAAACTTCCTGGCCTTAAAGATTATTGGGGCTTTAAAGATTATTGAGGACTGCAAAGAGCTTTAGTTTATGTGGATTATGTCTATCGATACTGTATTAGAAATTAAAAGTGAGAACATTTAAAAGAATCTATTAATCTGTTTAGAAACAAGGCATCCATTACACATTGGCATAAATATTTTTATGACAATTAACTTTTTTTCCCCAAAACTGAATAATATTAGTGAGAGAAGTGGCACTTTCACATTTTTGGGACCCTTTTTAATGTCTGGCTTATTAGAAGACAACAGATTCTCCTATTTGCTTTTGCATCTCATTTATTGTGATATGTCATCTTGGTTTGGTGGAAAATGTGAAGAGTATCTGGTCTCACACTGATACTTAGTATTTTGATAGCATTTTCAGATAATTTTGGATATTCATCTTTGATATTCTACCAAAACATGATATGCAGTAGTTTCTTACAGACTGGTTGAAATGTGGAACCAGAAGCCATATCAGTGGACACTTCCTACTTGTTATATTAAAATCCATTGGTTTATCTTGCACTTTGAATGGATCTTTTACTCATGCATGATTTTTCATAAATCTATGCATTGATCATTGGAAAATATTGGTTCACTTTGTTACACAGATCTTACAAATGTTAACATATTATATTATGTAACATTTAAAAATTACATTTATCAATATCACCACTGAGATAATTCAGAATAGTCTTTTAAGTATTATGAAGCTGTTAAGCTCACAGTGTCAGATACAAGTTTTCCAAAGTTTTAATATTTGCTTGAATTTTATCATTGCCTACAAATGACTGTCAGTTATTTCACTTGAAGTGATGGTCTCATTTGGTACTGTTTTGAGAAAATGTCTGCTAAATATATAAGTTTGACTAACCATAGTCTGCGAGTTGTTCATTCAAGTAAATATGAAGGAAAGTGATTAGTTCTTTCAGCCTTGAGCTCAAATGATTGCACCAGTGCCTTACTTTGAGATGACCATTTTGCTTCAGTGTGCAGCATAAGTTGTTTTATACTACCCATTTTGTCACACAGAATATTACAAAAGGTCAAGATTTAATGAAATTATTGTTATTGTTTCATCAAAGACATTCTTTAGTGAAACTGGATTTTTTTTTCTTTTTTAACTGTGACTACATGATAGCAAAGACTACAGTGACTACTAGTACAGTCTAATGCCAAGTCCTTGACCTGTGTTAAGGTGCCAACAGTTTCACCCACTACTGCTTTTGTACCATCAATGCACATGTTAGCCCAGGAAAAAAGGGATAAAACTCCACTGTTAGTAAGCAAAGTAGTTTTTACTACACAGACTTTCCGAAAGGGTCTTGGGAATCTGCATCAGCCCATGGACTATACTTGAAATGCTGGTATCCGTAATAGAATGTTGGATTCTCTTTTTTTTGGAATTGCTGTAGAGACAACTAGCCATACAATAAATCTGTGCTATATGGGGTGGCATTAAATGGAATATACATGTGTTATTTTAAAATAAAAAAGGAACTCATTTCAAATTCATTGTTTTGTATTATAATTTAAAAACATGTAAAAGTAACATTCTAGGGTAAAAACTCAATGAAAAAGTATTTAAGAAGTTTTTTAAGAAGAATTTTTGTATTTTTACTAGAGACGGGGTTTCACCATGTTGGTCAGGCTGGTCTCAAACTCCTGACCTCGTGATCCGCCTGCCTTGGCCTCCCAAAGTACAGGTGTGAGCCACTGTGCCCAGCCTAATATAGGCATCTTACCACATCTGTTACATGGATCTATCTCATTCTTTTTAATGGAAGTTTAGTATTTCATAGCAAGTATGCCATAATTTTTAGCTGTTTCTCCATTATGCACATTTGTGTTGTCTCTCATTTTTTGATATTCATAATGTTTTAGTGACCATCTTTGTACATATACCCTATACATTTGTATAGATATTTCTGTGGTCTAGCTTGCCCAAAGTGCAATTGTTTGGATGTACACATTTAACATTTGGGGGGAGACAATAGCATTGTCGTGATTCAAACCCAATATGTCTGACTATACAAAGCCTATGTAAAAGTTCATGGGCTTTGTATAGTCAGACATATTGGGTTTAAATTATGACTCATCATTTCTTTGCCCTGTGACTTTGAGAATGTTATTTAATGTCCCGAGCTTGAGTTTTTCTTGTGAAACGGAGATGGTCTTCTTACTGTGTTGAGAGGTACTAAATTAAATGAGAACTGTTATCTGTAAAGTGTCTAGCATAGTGCCTGACTGACAGCAAGTGCTCAGTTAGTGGCAGTTACTGTTACAAGGATTGATCAGTCCCAATTTTTAAGTCAGGAGATGAGTCTATTTAGGGTGTGCCACTGGAGCTGTGGCCTAGGGCATATCATGTAATTCTCCAGGCCTGCTTTCATTTGCAAAATGAGGGAATTAGACTAGGTAATCTCTTGTTCTTTTCCAGTTCTATAATCTTGTGATTCTCTGACATGGTTTCCAGTATTGAAAATATTTGTAATAAGATAAACTGGAGATATTATGTGGCTGGTTTTAACATGTTTATAAAATTTTTCCTAAAATAGTTACTTTTCTCTCTCCCTCCCCCTACCAATATAATAAAATGTTATAGTAATTTCTGTCCTCAGAATTAAAACTATCTCCGTCTGTTGTAGAAAGATTACAAAATGTCATTCGAATATAGTCTTATTTTAAAAATTTATTTTAAAATTGATTGCTACTCACTTTGACTTAGGCTGTGTACATACCTATTTTTTCTCTTCAGTTCTTTGTATCACGGACAGATCTTGTATGTATCAGGAAAGGGTCAGTTCAAAGCAGGCTGTAAGTATGACAATATCTTCGTTTTACCTCAATCAGTGCATTCTAATCCTTTAACGTAATTTCTGTGATCTTTCTCTGCTTTTCTCTGATAATGAGCTTTCTTTGTCTTAAGCCAAGCATAGATGTCTAAATTTTAGCTATACTAGGTAACATGATAAATATAGACATTTTACTAGTGTTATTATTGATTAAAAGGGAAAAGCTCGTGAGCATTAAAAAAAAACAAGTTTTAGGCAGGAATATAGTGATACTTAAACTGAAAGCTTTGGAGGGGTGTGGTTAGGGCACATCTTAATTTTGATTGTATATCATTGATTATATCATCAATAGTGTTGCCTAGCTGTTCTTTTTTTTTGCATTTTCATGAGAGAGGTGGTTTTTACACAAAGCCAGGTGGTCTCTAAAATTGATGGAATTAATTACATTGACAAAACTTAAATAATTCTGAGATTCGTAAACTCACTGCCTAGTATTTTATCTTGGTAAGTAGAATCTGTTTTCAGGTCATTAAATTTTTCCTGAAACAACCATACTGATAAGAGATGCTTCTTGAATTTTGTACTCCAAAATATTAATAGTAAAAGAAATTTAAACATGATTCATTTTCATGAGAATGTTTTCTAAAATTGTGACTTTTGATTCTTTCTAATTTGTTCATTGTCCTCAGAACAGGACAAGTTTTAGTTGCCTGTTGATTAATATGTATTTTCATTTTCAGTCTCAACATTTGCATTTCTTTGAACAAATTAATTGTGCTCTTATCCTCCCAACCCCTTACTCCCACTGCAGTTATTTTGAATTTAGGGAGTTGAGTTATCTTTCTCATTAATAAGAAAGTATAATGTTGTGAGCCACAGGGAGCTGGACCAGTAAGGTCTCTTAGAGCCCTTTAATTCCATAATGTCCTTGATCTGATGAAGCCGCTCGGTAAATCTCTTCACAATTTCCATGACCAAGCCATCTGCCTGCATTAAAATAAATCAAATCTGCTTACTCCTTCAGTGTCTAACAAATATTCTATAAACTGATGATGATGAAGACCATGAACACAAAAATAATTTGCAGTCTTCAGCACTTCCTTTTGAGTTCTCAGCTCAGATTCTCTTGACATAGTGGGGGTTGGCGTGTCAGCTTTTTCTTCGACTTGAGTGGAGAGTAGTGAAGTCCATTCTCCTAGTCCTTTTCATTATATTTGTCCCAACTGTGGCAAGTGAACTAATTCAGCTTTTTCATGTTTAGGTTAAACGTCACAAAACTTTACTTTTTCTTCTACTTCATGTATGTTAATTAGAGAAATGCACATAGATTTATCTAATTTTATATGTGGCAGTTTACATATGTGTAAACTGAGTGTAGGGGGTGCATACATGTGCATATGTGTTTTTAAGTCTCTGGCAGACTGATTTTATATCTGGTTCAGGTTTCTGATATTGTCCAGACTTTAGGAACTATGTCAGTTGTAGCAGCACTATGCTGTAAAAGTGCATGATCCCATAGCCCATTTGTAGGCAAAAATAGTTATTTTTTTTTAACATCTTGAAAAGCATTGAATTTTTGAAGTATTTCTTCTTTGTGATCTTCTTACTATCCTTTCGTTCCTCACCGCATTTGTTTTTCCTTTGAGACAGAGTCTCGCTCTGTCACCCAGGCTGGAGCGTAGTGGCGCGATCTTGGCTCAGTGCAACCTCTGCCTCCCCGATTCGAGCAATTCTCCCTGCCTCAGCCTCCTGAGTAGCTGGGATTACAGGCATCAGCCATGACACCTGACTGATTTTTGTATTTTTAGTAGAGACAGGGTTTCGCCATGTTGACCAGGCTGGTCTCGAACTCCTGACATCAAGTGATCCTCCCGCCTCAGCCTCCCAAAGTGCTGGGGTTACAGGCCTGAGCCACCGTGCCTGGCCAAAGACATTTGTTTTTTTTTTTTTTTTCTAGTTTTGGCCTGTAATGAGTAATGCTGCTGCACATGTTCTTGTGTGTGTCTTTTGATGCATATCAGAATGAATTTCTGTTGGGTATATCCCTACGAAACAAATTGCATATGTTCAACTTTAGTAGGTATGGCCCATTTTCTGAAGTGGCTGTGCTGATCTTTCTCCCACTAGCAGTGTATGAGAAATGAGAGTTTCATTTCCTTTACATCCTTGTCAGTGAACACTAGGTATTGTCAATCTATTTTATTACTTCAGCCATTCTGATAGGTGCATAATGATATCTCATTGTGTCTGTGCGTGTATGTATGTAGGTGGTTTTGTACTTCCCTGATTACTAATGAAGTTACACACCTTTTCACCTTTTTACTAGCATTTGGGTATTGTCTTTTACAAATTTTCTATTGAAGTCATTTGCCAGTTCTTAAAAAACTTTGTTGAGATATAATTCACAAACGATATGGTTCACCCACTTAAAGTATACAGACCAATAATTTTTGGTATTTTACATTATTTTAAAAATTGTGGTAAAATATATATAACATAACATTTACCATTTTAACCATTTTAAGTATATGATTCAGTGGCATTAAGTACATTTGCATTGTTGTGCAGCTATCACCACTATTTCCAACACTTTTATGTTGCCCTAAACAGAAGCTATAACTATTAAGCAATACCTCCCAGTTTCCACCTAACCCCTGGTAACCTCTAATCTACTTCTTATCTCTATAAATTTACCTGTTCCACATACCTCATATAAGTAGAATTATACAACATTTATCCTTTGTGTCTGGGTATTTATTTCACTTGGCATAGTAGATTTATTTCACTTGTCATAATGTTTTCGAGGTTCATTCATGTTGTAGCATATACCAGAACTTCATTTCTTTTTATTGCTGAATAATTTTTCATTGTATGAATATACCACATTTTATATGCTCATCTGTTGACGGATACTTGGGCTTCTTGCCAGTTTTCAAAATTAAGGAGTCAGTGTCCCCTCCCACTCCCTTGGTTTCAGTGGGTTTAAAAAACATGTTTGTTGAAGTACTGGCACATTATTGTTTATATGTGTTGTAAAATCTCTTACTCTGTGACTTGCTTTTTTACTTTCTCAGTTTGGCGTCTTTTAAAGAACAGAAGTTCTTAATATTAAGTGATTCATTTAAGCAACTTTTTTCTCCTTTACTAGCATTTTTTGTGTCTTGACTACAAATTTTTTGCCTTTCCTAATGTCATAAAGATATTTCCTGTTATCCTTTGTAAGCTATACTGTTTTACCTTTTATATTTCAACCTACAGCCTATCTGGAATTCATTGTCTTGTGTGCAATGAGAGTTGGGGGTAAGGACAAAATTTTTTTTTTTTTTTTTTTGGTGATGGCTGGCTTATTTATGTTTAGCCTTTTTAGGAAGATAAGATGTGGTCTTATACTTTGTTTTACCTGTAGAATCTAGTACAGTGCCTTGCATATGGTGAGTGATCAATAAACTCTTATTAATAAATAAGTCATGAAGACTCATCTCCCAAAAAACACATAGGGTCCCAAACAGAATTCTGTATATGAATGCTATGTAAGCATTATTTTTTTCCTCCTTTTGTTGTCTTTTTCCTCCTCCTCTGTTGTCACCATCATCTTTATCACTGTCATATCCTTTTACTTCATTAACATAATCTTCATCATCTGGAGTTGAGGTTAAGTTTTTAATCTCACAATATTAATTTTTCTATTATATAGTAATTTGTTTTAAAATAATCATTTTAGTTTTAAATGGCCTTTTACATTGTTGAATCCTTTGCATCATATAACCACTGCCTACATTTGTATTGTACAAGGGATTTTAACCTGTGACCAAAAGATGGTTTTCGGGGAGGTCACAGAAATTTCATTCCAAATTTAGTGTTATATGCATTTGACATTATTCGTTTCCCTGGGGAGAGTGTCTCATCAACTTTTAAAAATATGGTATTTCATTTTCCAACAAACTATTGAGAACCTATTCTATATACACCACTGTGAGTTATAAAGAGATGTTCAATATATCTAGTCTTAAGTAACTTTATACTTATATAACTACAGTTGGAATTATAACTGTAGTTACAGTTTGGAGATGTATGTGAATCAGGAAAGAAGTAATTGCAGAATACTTATTATCAGGATTGTGTGGGGAAACAGAAGTATAGATATATCATAGTTAAAATGTCATGTGGAAGAAGATATAGCCAGATAGCTAATAAACTTGTGTATTGCCTGTCTGGTCTTTATCCCAGCCAGTGAGGCATGGCACATCTGATTCTTATGTATTCAGTGGTTTGTAAGGAGAAAAAGAACAACTGAGGGTTTATTATACTCCAGGCATCTGGGGATAGAAGGATGACAAATGTGGATGATCCAGTGTTCAAGTTTAGACTAAACTTCCATGATTTACTCTGAAAGACAGACATGACTTAGCTCATTATGGTGTCATGTATTACATTTGTGGAGTGAGTGAAGTGTAATTTCCTGCTCAATTCTCATTCTTGTCCTCACCAAGCCATTCGATTTTCCCTGGTAGTATGTATTCTTTGGAGTATGGTCCTTTGGAGTCTGCACGCTGTGCAACTGTGCATGAGTATGTAAAAGTGATGACATCGAGGCAGTGACAGAAAACAGGTGGAGTCTGAGGCAGTGCACCTGGTTACTCAGGATTACATGAAGTATATGAGAGACCAAGCAGTGTCTGTGTGTCCTTATAAGGGGATTGACAGAGGCCTGTGTTACAATGTAGAGGTCTGTGCAGGGATTTCAAGATCAGTGTCTTCCTCTGTTTGGGCCGCAGTAACAGAATACGACAGACTTGGTGGCTTATAAACCACAGAAATGTATTTCTCACAGTTTTAGAGGCTGGGGAGTCTAAGATCAAGGTGCCTGCAAATTTAATGTCTAGCAGCCTGCTTCCTGGCTTGTGAACAGCTCTCTTCTTGCGGTGTCCTCACATAGTGGAAGGGGCAAAGAGCTCCCTGGGGCCTCTTTTATGATGGCATAAATCTCATGTGTGAGAGGTCCACCATCATGACCTAATCATCTCCCAAAGACTCCGCCTTCAGGTATCACCACTTTGGGTTTTAGGTTTCAATATATGAATTTTGTGGGGGATACAAACATTCAGTCTATAGCAATCAGAGACAAATGGCCAGGATCACAGTACAGGGGTGGGAACCTGCACACACCCACCACTGTTCCCGTTCAATAACAGCAACAATGGAAAGAAAACCCTCACAAAGGAGCATTCATATTTTACTGGTTACCAGTCTGGCCTAGTCTGTCAAGATACTCTCCAGCAGAGGCAGGTAAAGAAACCAGAGAACCTGGTGTGGCTATGGGGGCAACTCTTTTCTTCTCTGGCTGGGGGTAATTTGAGTACTCTCTCCTTCATGCAGGAAGATACCGTCTTGAAGCAAAGCAGCACAAGGGGAAAGAAATCTGAAAGACCGAGAATTTCTCTGAGCTATTGAAAAGAGAAATCTAGAGGTTTCTTAGGCTGTGCAAATTCTTGGATCTGCCTGAAATAACTAAATTCAGTCCAATCTAATCATCTTCCTGACCCCTGTCACCCATCTAGTATGAGAGTGAGTTGGGGGTGTGTGTGAGTGAGAAGTAGTAAGATCAGATCGGTTTGAGAGAAAATAGACTCTGTTTCTTTGCATATGCCTATTTATTAACAAAGGAATGTAAATGTACTTACTGCTGTCCTCTTGATAAAATTTGCTATAGATGTATGGCTAATCCCACAGAATCAAGGATCCTTATCTGGCCAGATGCACCAATTTTGACCTCTGTCCTAGTTTTTAACTTAAGCTGATATACCAACAGGGCAGCAAATATATAAGCAGTTGCAAGAACTGCACTGCAATGGTTTATTGAATCTTAATAAATGATACTTTCTTTTAAGAAAAGCCTCTTTATTCGCTTGATCACTTGAAGTGCTTTTTAAAAATACTTGGATTTGGCAGGCTTTTTCTGATACTGAGGTGCTCACAGTAAACTGAATGTGGTTAAACAGCTTGGAACACTGGAGTTGAATAGTTTCTGGGCACATGTGCCAAAGGATGGCAAGCCAAGTCATCCAGCCTCCAGTGCCAGCTCTGATGAGCTTCAGTTCTGCTGCTGCCAGCACTTCTGCATGCCTCTCTGAGTCTCACACATTTCTTCTTTTAGTGTCACAAGTGTCCAGTCTGGATGTCACATTTTCATTAAGGGCATAGCTGTCATTGTTGGGTTACCACCATGTGCCATACATTGCCTAGACATTTTATGTATGTATGTACATTAATCCTTAAACTAAGCCTGTGAGATAGATGAGTATTAGTCCTATTTCCAAGTGAAGAAATAGATGATTCAGTTGTAGAGCAGAATGAATTCCAGTACCTGTAGTTAAGAGCCTGGAATATTAAGATGGTAGGTAAAGATAATATGTAACATGTAAAAATAATAAAGTGCCTAATACTGTGTCAGGCTCAGGTGATCAGTAAGTGGATTACATTTTCTCTTGTAAGCTCCATTTACCTTTGTGGTGATTTTGTCTGCATTCTAGGGCCTAACTGGAGAATTTGGGAAGCATTTGTAGAAGTTATGGGCAGATCTTATAGCAGAGCTTTAGAACCCTAAACATTAGAATCTTAAGCACTGTGAAGCTCCAAACAGTAAACTGTGAAGTATAGGTGAGGAGGTAATACAGTTCTGAGTTTTTTGTCCTCAAGAGGACTTCTCTCTCTTTCTCTCTGTCTCTCTCACTCATCTACCTCTTTCTCTCTGCCTTGCTGATGCCTTATTTATTTGTTTGGTGTGCCTATTAAGTAATAAAGCACTAGCTATGAGAGTCTACAATTTTATTTTAATTTGTATCAAATAATTGTGTTATCAAATTCAAAGGGGAATTATTAAAAATCCTGTTTTAGAGATTACCAGTCATTAAGAAATTGTGCTCGACTGTTGGGTTAGACAATGTAGGTGATAGGAAAGAGGTATAAAACTCAGTTCCTACCAACATGGAGAAACCCCATCTCCACTAAAAATAGAAAATTAGCCAGGCATGGTGGCACATGCCTGTAATTTCAGATACTAGGGAGGCTGAGGCAGGAGAACTGCTTGAACCCAGGAGGCAGAGGTTGCAGTGAGCCGAGATTGCACCATTGCACTCCAGTCTGGGCAACAAGAGTGAAACTCTGTCTCAAAAAAAAAAAAAAAAAAGGAAAACGAAGAAACAAAAAACTCAGTTCTTGCCTCCACTGAGTTTATACTTTTAGAAAAGAAAAGGGAAAAAATTTTTTTGAATGCCTAACTAGTCTTTCAGTGTGCATTATATAATTAATTTTTACCACAACCTGGCATTGCTTTCATTTGATAAACAAGAAAAATGATGATCAGAAAGGTTAAATAAGATCACATGGCTCAATTCCTTTGGTTTCCAAAACTCGTCTTCCTGGCTTAAGGAACAGAGAAGAGTTTCAGTTGTGAGCCGCATGATGACGTTTTGGTTAACAATGGACCACACATACAGTGACTGTGGTCCTATAAGATTATAACACCGTATATTCACTGTACCTTTTCTGTGTTAAATATGTTTAGATACACATATTTACCATCGTGTTATAATTGCCTACGGTATTCAGTACAGTAACATGCTCTACCGGTTTGTAGTGTAGATGCTCCACCATATAGCTCAGATGTATAGTAGGCTATATACCGTCTAGGTTTGTGTGAGTACACTCGATGTTCACACAATGATAAAATCACCTAATGATGCATTTCTCAAGACATATCCCTGTCATTAAGTGAAACATGACTGTATTTCACCTTCAGATTTCCCTTATTATTCTTTTTTCTGGGCCTGGAAAATAATGCTTATGCTTTAGTACCCAGCTTGGATGTCACTTCCCAAGTGAAGGCTTCCCTAGAGTTAGCTTTTTTCCCCCCCTACATCCATATAACTTTGCTCAAACTTTAGCCTTTATCTGTTTACTGTAATTTATGCACTTGCCTATTTGTTTAACCCTCTTCTTTCTTAGCCAGTGCTTGATACACGTTTATTTCATAAACAATACATGATAATTGTATTGTCAGGTTAGAAGTACAACTAGAGTCAGAGACCTTATGGAACAGGTAGGAACTAATTGAGTCTTGCAGGATCTAAGTGGGATGTAGACTAGCACAGAGGTGGCCTGGTACACAAGACTGGGGAGGGAAGAGTGTGGGAGATGATGTTAGAAATAGTCGTATGGAAAGGAGCGTTGCTAGTTCCTGTTAGGAAGTAACATGAGTTAAATTTGGATGCCACGTTTATCATTTCAGCTCTTTGAAAACTGCCCCTAATGATATGTCTTTTCTTTTGTTTCCTCAAAATTAATTATCCTTTGGTAGCTATGGTAACTCATTTGAAGCTCTGTTATGCATGTAATTTGTACACATTGAACTATTTGCTTCAGCATTCTAAATATTTTCTTGCATAGTCAATAATCCTATATTTACAATGTTCTCTTTCTTCTGGCGAAAATTGGCTTTTCCTCTTAGATTTCTAAAGATTTTTTTTTAAAAAGAATTAAGAATGACAGCATGAATAGTAAATTACCATAAATGACCATCATCTTTGTCACTCATGTGCATGCTGTTATTTGCTGGAATTGACATATTTCTGGGCAGTTTTTACTTTGAGAACCTTTGAACACATGCCACATGCCACCTGGCTTCCCCAGCTTCCCAGCTCCCAGGACCATTACAGCCTCACTCCTGAGGGCTGCCACACCTCTGTCCCTTCTCTTCTGTGCTCCACAGCCCAGTGTGACACCCTTTGTGCCTCCTTCCTGGCTCTGGCCCAGCCAGTTACACCTTTGTGTTTGCAGCTCTTCTTTTCCCATGCTGTCTCTTACTGGATCCCTAAACTTCCTAGCTCAGCCTTTCTGCCTGGTGTACTTAGACTGGTTTTCTTTTTATGTCCTCCCTCCCTCTTTCAGATGAGTTTTGCACCTGCGCCCCCGTTTTCAGTGGTTAGACTAGATGGTCCATTTCTTCTCTTTGGTCAGAGTACTGTTTAACCTTTGAATCGTTTTTCTCTTGTGGAAAGTGGGACAGGTAATGCCTACCCACACCAAGTGGCTAGACTGGATGAAGTGATGGACTTCAGGCACCAGGTGCTTAGTGAATAGGAGTCTCTAACTTTTCCTTTTCCCCAGCTCTTAACATTATAAAACAGCTTTTTAAAGCATTTACTCATATTTGGTAAATATTTATCTAGTGCCCACTTTGTGTTAGGCTATGTTCTAGGTACTGAGGATATAGCAGAGGCAAAAATAGACTAAAGACATTTGTAACAACAACTTAGGCAGTAAAAAATGAGATGGGACTACATTGTTTTTTCTCAAGTCCCTGCCTCTTAAAGTGTTTACTTACCTCTGAAATAGAGGCATGTGAAGAATAATATGACACAGAAAAAATGTTATGTTAGGTACTTAGGTGTCCTTAAGTCATGGTAAATATACTTTTTAAAGCTTTTACAACCTTTCAGTTTTGTTTGTGTCATCCAGGTTTATAATGGATTCCTTAGTGAAGTGACAGGGTTGTAGTGCGTAGAGGGTCTCTGTCACCCCTGCAGTTAATTGCGTTAAATAAGGTAGATCTTACACAAGCATTGTTTTCATTTCTAAATAAATGACTGTTGCGAAGAGCAGTAATGAAACTTTAATAAAATTTTGTCTGAGACATTCATTGGCCAATATTGCCTATACCACAGTGCCTTACAGAGGGAAGGTATTTAGGAAAGACGTGTGGACCCAGCAAATGTTTATTTCTGGAGGTACTTTTATACTTCCATTTTGGGGGCTTTATCAGCAATTACATGTGATGTTTATTTGCAGTAATAAACATCATCCTAGATAATATCTGTCTCTTAATTTATTTGTATAGTTTAGAAAAGTAAAGTTGTTCTGTTTGAATTGTGTTTATTTTAAAAGTACTTCTAAGTTGTTTTAGTACTACTAAAAAGACATTTAGCATACTGTATATGACTCACGCACTTTTTAGGTACATAAAAAGGTATATAAATAGGCATTTATTGATTTGCTTCTGAAGGTTTAATATTGATAATTCCAAACCAGAAGGTGAAGATTTCTTCCACTTACAATGGCTTCCTTGTGAAATTTTATGTAGCTGTCATACAGTCCTGGAATTGTAGATCTGGAAGATACCTTTAGTCTTCTAGGTTCTCCTTTATACTCAACTCTTTCCTCCTGCTTCTATTCTTGCATGTCATTTAATTAAAAATCTAGAGAGGTAAAGTGATCTTTTCAAAGCCACACAGCATGTAAGTGGCAGCGTTTAGGCCAGAATCCACGTTGATGCTCTTTCCAATAACATGAGTGAAATAATAAAACTAAGCAATATTTCAGTTACTTTTTCTGTCTTATTCAAACTAACTTTAACTTCTTCAGGGTCAAAAATCTTCTCTTCTTGATGCCTTTCTGTCTCTGTCTTTCCATCGC